CTTTTCACATTCTGCCCATTGCCACTATTGAAGACAAAACACAGAGAGCCTGTGACAGAACTCTGGTTCTGAATGGCGGCCGTTGGTGACCATGTCAATCACTCCCATCCTCCGGCAGAAAACACACCACACCCAGGGATTCCTGCAAACCATTTCAAGGGCAGCTCTGGAGTGCCCTAGAAACTCACTTTGAGGTGCTCAAGTTTCTTGATTGGCCTTCAGTGCTTAAGATTAAACAGACTTTTTCATTAGAGAAGAACAAAGAAGTGTTAGGCTGGATTAGCCGCCAGCGACTCTCTGCAGCTTATTCTCTGCATTCCGGCTAAAACCATAGGTGCTTACTAGATGCTGATCCCCATGGGATGGTAGACAAGATGGTGGATGAGGAACCTCTGCCAAGTGGCTAGATCCATGTTTGCTGGGGAGAAAAACAGTTGGAAAGGACATTGGGAATCACATTTTTCGTGTTCGTACCTGTAGCTGCACAGGGCACAGATCTACATTGGAATGTGTCAGCAGCTTTGAAAATTGGCTTTTGACCCAGTTTGTTCCTGCCGGTTTCTGTAATGTGTCTAAGTCGGCCCCATTTCTTCTAAGACTAAGAGAGGCCTAAAACCACCAGCTTAATCCCCCACAATCAACTTCCTCGGGGCTGCAGCTTTCCACTGTGCCGCTAAGAGCTGTACTTCCATCCAATTTTACATTTCTTCCCAGCTGTACTTTTGGCCTTTTTTCTTCCCACATCTAGCTGATGCTCGGGCCATGTAACCTAGAAAATTATTCTCCTAGGGAACATTTTAAGAAAGACGATACAGTAATTTAAGTGTAGAACTTCGTGTGTTTGGGCTGAGCTTCTTGCTCAGGTTTACGTGATGGTTACAAGAGATAGGGGGGAACTGAATTGATGGAGAGATGAGAACAGGAAGCTTTGGGGCTCAGGGCCCACAGCAGCAGGAGGAAGCCACCACCCCTCAAAAAAAAAAAAAAAAAAAAGAAAGAAAGAAAGAAACTTTGCTTTGCAGAAAATGAGATTTAAAAAAAAACAGCTTCTATACCCCCATAAAATGCCTGGAAATTCACCTCTCTGGAAACACAATCTCAGGCAGATCAAGCCCCAGGTGGTGAAGACAAATGGCTGGCTAGCTGGCTGTCGGGGACAATCTTTAGTTTCTAGAGGAGGTAGATGAGTACTAGGCATGATTACTCAGATTGCGGCTTGTTTCAGGTCAGAGAGCGAGGTACAGAGTGTGATTCGTATTGTGATAAGCCAATTTCCAAATGGCGTCTTTCACCTCACTCCTGCTCCCTTTGGATTTGACATTGGTCACCCGGGCCAAACCACACTACACACACACACACACACACACACACACACACACACACACACACAGCCCCCACTTCCCCCCGCCCCGGTCCCCTGTGGTAAGAGAAATGAATTCCAAAGCTGACAGCAGTGCATGGAGGGAAGCGATCTTGAGCTTTTTGAGTGGCTAGAAGACGCCACTGCCGAGTTGCCTCGCCTTCCCCTGACCTAGATTGTGTGCTTCCCCACCCTCTCCCTCCCCTCGCTCCCCTCGGCATACACAGACCCACACCCATCCTCAGCAAAGCCATTTGATGTTAGAAAGTTTTCTGTTCTCAGCAATTCTTGAGCTCAAATATGGGACACGCTTTTACTGCTACAGAACAAATGTTTACAGCCCAAGCATTCATGTACAATGCTTGCGAGAATTGCAAACCCTTCCATGTCTTTCAGAACTGGAGTCCTCGCTCATAAAGATACTGCACTGAGCAGAATTATATATATATGTGTGTGGTTTTTTTTTTAAAGAATATATACCAGCTGGGGGGGTGGTGACACATAACTTTAATCCCAGCACTCAGGAGGTAGAGGCAGGAGGATGTCTGTGAGTTCAAGGCCAGCTTGGTCTACAGAGTGAGTTCCAGGACAGCCAGAGCTACACAGAAAAACCCTGTCTTGAAACAATCAAACAAAAGGACAACAACAAGAGAATGTATACCTGCAGAAGGGTGTTTCTGTGCCAGAGCTCTGTCTGTCCTCACCTCGGCTCTGTGAGGCTCGAGTGGGTTGTTACTGCCTCCACTTTTCAAATGGCTAATTGATGTGTCCTGTGTCACACAGCCAGTGACAGAGCTCAAGCCAGAAACCAGGTCTCCTTGTTCCAACCCTGATGGCACTGTCCCTTTTCTTCAGCCTTAGCAGCGATATTAGAGGTAATGCCAGACACGATGGTACACGCTTTTAATCCCAGCTCTTGGGAAGCAAAGGCAAGCTGATCTCCGTGAGTTCAAGACCAGCCTGGTCTTCATAGTAAAGTCCAGGGCACCCGAGGCTACACAGTGAGGCCCTGTCTGAAAAGAGAAAAATAAAACAAAATCAATAGCGCCTAGGCCTGGGGGTGTGACTCGCTGGTAGGGAGCTCACCTAGTATGCAGGGAGCTGCAGACCATTCCCAGCACAGCGTACCCTGGGTGTGGTGATGCTTGCCTATAATCTCAGAACTCCGAAGATAGAGGCAGGAAGATTAGAAATTCAAGACCGCCCTCAGCTGCACAGGGATCTGGAGGTCAGCCTAGGCTAAATGAAACCCTGTCAATGGAAGGAAGGGAGCGCGGTTGGGAGGGAGGGAGGAAGGAAGGAAGGATTGGCTATTGCTGTGGGAGAGAGAAATCCAAGGGACCCAGGGCTTCCACTCCTACCCTTCTGGATGACTCTTGGAAACCCCAGTCACCAGCCCCCGGCTCTCTCCTACGCCCAACACAAACATCCACAGCTCACTGAGTTTTTTCTTCTCAGTTGAAGAATTCAACTGGAATTCATCCGCTACAAGCTGAAGCCCTCAAGTCCCTCCTGCTCCTCCTTCTCCTCTCTATTTCAGTAAAGACATCACCACCCACTCAGTCTCCCAAGCTAGAAATCCAAAGTTCTCCCAGAATCCCCTTCTCCCTCAGCTAGCCCAAATGGTTACAGAATCCTGCCTGGTTTTACTTCCTCGAATCCTCCGAAATAGGTCCTTGCCTCTTCTTAGCTCAGACCCCATTATCCCTTGCCCGGTGGGCGACACCCATCTTCCTTCTGTTCCTCCCCGGGTTTTACCCCACCCCCAGCTCATCTTCAAAGCTCCTCCTCAACTCTCATTCTTACTGTCATTTCCTGGCTTAAAATCTTTCAGGGGGTTCTCTATAAATCTGAAGGTAAAAATCCAGCATCTTTAACCACAAGGCCCTGTACCTCTAACTTCCCGAGTTAAACCCCAGCTAGAGCAGACACCAAACTCCAAGCACGCAGCCCCGAAGTGGGTCCTCGCTCATCACATTTGACCCGATTAGCTCACTGCCTCGGCTGGAGAGGTCTCCAGGCAGTCTTCCCCATCTTCCCTCTGCTTTTCCACCTACCCTAGCACCTCCACCCATGAAACCGCGTTCAGCTCCAGGAAAGAGAAACAACGACCGACCGGAGCAATAGCCAAGAGTTGGTATTCCTCCGAGCCCGGAAATGGGCAAGGGGCTGTTGGAAAGAGATTCCAGTGACTTGGTGGCACCATCACAGGCTTCCCAGTCTCTTTCTTATGCGCCCCCCCCCCTTAGGTAGAGCCATTGTGCTGGTCTAGGCCCACATCCTTTAGAAACATTCTCAGTGGAGATAGCAAATACTTTCAAGGGTGTCCTGTTTTTTGGAAGTCAACGAATACACATAGTCATGTCTGCTGAGTAATGGGAGTGACCAAGGCAGGTGACCACATGTGGGTAGCAGTCCAGGTGGGTCCTGTAGTAACAAGACGGAACTCTTGGTTTTGTTTAGGATCTGACTCCAAGTTTATAGAGGGCATCCCCAAAAGTTCTCACTCTGTGGACTGGAACAAAGCTCAGGCTAGCCTCCAACTGATGGAAATCCTCCTGCCTCACCTTCCTGAATGTTGAGATGACAGGCATGAGACGCCATACCTGTACTGTCACCCCAGGCACCTTGAATCCTGTCCCAATTTCCAAAATTCAAAATAGGAATATAAACATTATAGCTTAGAACGCTGGTCTCGGGTGGTGGTGGGGGGGGGGGCTAGAGAGATGGCTCAGAGGTTAAGAGCACTGACTGCTCTTCCAGAGGTCCTGAGTTCAATTCTCAGCCAACCACATGGTGGCTCACAACCATCTGTAATGAGATCTGGTGCCCTCTTCTGGCCTGCAGTCATACATGCTGTATACATAATAAATAAATAAACCTTAAAAAAAAAAAAAAAAAGCTGGTCTTGATTAGATATCTAAGTTTTAATCTCCTTGTTTAAAAATAAATTTTTGGTCAGGCATGGTGGTCTACCTCTATAATCCTAGTACTTGGAAAGTAGAAGTAGGAAGATCAAGAGTTCAAAGCCAGCCGGGTAGTGGTGGCACACGCCTTTAATCCCAGCACTCAGGAGGCAGAGCCAGGTGGATCTCTGTGAGTTCGAGGCCAGCCTGGTCTACAGAGTGAGATCCAGGACAGGCACCAAAACTACACAGAGAAGCCCTGTCTCGAAAAACCAAAAAAAAAAAAAAAAAAAGCTAATGAATTAGAGGCTGACAAGATAGCTCAGTGAGTGACTTTGTCCCCACAAGGTGGAAGGAGAGGACCACGAGGACTTGACCTCTGACCTCCAGTAGACATGCTGTGGCACATCTGTCCACATGCACAGACGCAGGCACATAAATAAATAAGTGTGAAAAACTGAAATCGTAAGAAAGGATTCAGGGCATCGTCTGAGTGCTAGATCTGAGCTATGACAGGGTGACGTGAGTAGGTGGCCTCCAGTGGGGAAAACGCGTTGTAAAAAGAAGTCACACACCAGAGACTGAACCCGTGGCGCCCCCTCCTTCCCCACCAAGCCCTAGAGCTGATGTCCCATCCGGGTCCTTAGGCTTATTGTTTCCTCTTTGCCCTACAGACCCCTCCTGCCGCTCGGTGTCTCTCATCGGAGTCCTTGTCTTTTGTTCTCTCCCTCTAGATACTAAGCAACCAAGAGGAGTGGCTGAAGGCGGAGCTCCGAAGCCAAGAAGGATATGTGCCTAAGAATTTTATAGATATTGAGTTTCCTGAGTAAGTATTTCCAGCCTGCCAAGATGGGTCTACCCACACATGCTCCCCTTACTTTTTCAGTCCTCACTAAAATTATCCATGCATACCCAAGGAACTGTCAGAAATGGCTGCCTCTGGAGAGCTCCCTCCCCAGCCTCCAGAACCTCACAGCGGAAGGCCAGGGTGGGAGGAAGATTTATTTGCATGGCACCACATTCCCTTCTGAAGTTTACACCGCGTGCATGGATCGCCTATTTAAAAAAAAAAATTTTTTTTTTATATAAAAAATGAGTTTGTGAGTTAAAAATCACCTATAATGAATGCAGCTGCAGCATCTCCAAGAATTCCAAAGGGGGCGCTGTTGGACATCCCATTTCAAAATCCATTCCTGCACAGCTCGTCTCCACGACTGCCTGACACTGCGGTCCACCCTAAGCAGGGATCCCAAACTGTCTCTTCTTGCTCACCCCAGTCAGAGAGAGGGGAGAGGGAAGGGAAATCCCCCCCCCCAGAAAGAGGAAGTGAAACACTGAGATTGGGCTGTGTTTGTCTCAAGAACTGACCACAAGGGTTAGATAGAAATCTAATCTTGTCTCAGAGCCAGGGTCTAGCCCCAAGAGTATAGGCTTTATAAAAAAGTAAAAAAAAAAAATCATAGTCGTGTTGATGACTCTAATGAGGGGCATTGGTGTCATTTTTCATGACCCAGAGAGACCTTTGAACCACAAGGTTGACCACTGACCTCCAATGGCCCCTTAGTGCCCCTATGATCGAGGAGGGGGCCACTTCATGCCAGTCACTCTCCCACCTATCTCTCAGCTCTGCCGCCATCCTCCCAGGTGTGTGGGAGACAGGGAAAGCACCAGAAGAGAAGCTTCTTGGTCCCCCACACACACTCGGGCCCACTTCCACAGGACCAGTAGTACCTCCCGCAACCACATTCAGATGCAGCTGTCAGTGCCTCCAGCAGAGACACCCCCTTTCCCCCGTCTGTTTTCTGTCCCTCTGCTGGAGCATTCCTGTCCACTGACAGGCTTGCCGCCATCACACACGTCCTTGGCCAGATAAACACAAGAGAAACAAAACCAAGAAACGGCTAGTTCCAACACCTTCCAGTTTTCCTTTCATTTCTTCAAAAGCATTTGTGTTCCCTATTTCCAATCCCCGTCCCCCGCCCCGCCCCGCTTCCCCTGTGGAATCCCCAGGACTCCTGTCAACAAGGTCCCTGCCAGCTACAGATTGCTGTAGTACTTTCTCAGCCACCATCTCAGCATAAGAGGACCCCTTCCCACCAGAACACGTTCTGTTCTGGGACATCTGCAATGCCTCTTGTTTCGGCCCCCTCCTCTTCATCCTGCGGTGCTCTGGCTGCTTCTCCTCAGTCTCCTTTGCTGGGTCCTCCTCACCCCCTCCTTCTCCAGTAAGCCTTTCTTATTACCATTTTTTTTTCCCAGTGGGGGTGTGTGTGATTATGGATGCATGTGGAGGCCAGAGGACAACCCCATGTGATTAGGGCCAATTAGGTTAGGCTGGCTGGCCGGTGAGTCCCAGGGATCTTCCTGTGCCAGCCCCCCAGTCCTGGGATTACAGCTGCACATCACTGTGCTGGGTGTTTACATGGGAGCTGGGGATCAAACTCAGACTGTCATGCTTCCAGAGCAAGCACATTGCTGATGGAGCCGTCTCCCCTGACCATTTTAAATGACTTTCCTCCCCAGCACCTTATCTACTTTGTTTCCATTTTCTCTCTTGGCTCACAGTCCCGTGGCATGCCATTTTGATTATTCTGTTGTTTATCCCATGTCTCCTGAGCCACCCAGAATGTCAGTTCCCTGAGAGTGCAGTTGCTTGTCTGTTCTGTTCACCACTATTTTCCTAGCACCAGGAAAATGGTCCCACGAGTTCAGAGATGGTCAATAAAAGCTGTCAGACCCAGCCCAGGTAGGAGCCATTTGTAATCCCAGCACTTGCAATTAGAAGACGGAAAATCAGAAGTTCAAAGCCAGCCTATAATATATAACAAGTTTGAAGTCAGTCTACATGAAACCCTATCTCAAAAAGTAACCCCCAAATGATAGGTTGGATGTGGTGGTATACACCACTGATTCCAGGCACTTGAAAGGCAGAGGCAGGCAGAGCTCTGTGAGTTCGCAGCCAATCTAATCGACACAGTGAATTCCAGGGTATCCGGGGTTGTATAGAGATACCCTATTTCAAAGTAATTAATTAACTACATCAAACAAAAAAAAAAAACAAAAAATAATAAATAAGAAATGTTAAATAGCCGGGCGATGGTGGCACACGCCTTTAATCCCAGCACTTGGGAGGCAGAGGCTGGTGAATCTCAGTGAGTTCGAGGCCAGCTTGGTCTACAGAGTGAGTTCCAGAACAGCCAGGACTGTTACACAGAGAAACCCTGTCTCGAAAAACCAAAAAAAAAAAAAAAAAGTCAATAAGTGAAAGAGTAGCTTTCGAATAACAAGGAAGTTTGGAACCCTGGCCTCCTGTGTCTGATACAAAATGTATGAAAAATTTTGGAAAGCTTAAAAAAAAAAGAAAAGCCCATGCTCAATTCTAGTTGGAGGATGTCGCTTTTTAAAACATGCCTACCTGCCTGTTGCCCCTGCTGAAGGCTTTCCTTCGAGCCGTGGCTGCTGCGGAGCGCACTGACCTCCTCCTCCTGTCACCGCTGTTTTCTACACGTGACAATCAGTTGTTCACCCCTGAGGAGATGTGAGACACCAGCAACCCCAGGCTCCAAGCCCTCTGGGCACCACCAACCACCTGCTGTCACCCAGGTCTGGAGGAAGAGTGTCCCTCCCGTTATCTGAGTCTGGAGCTGAGGATCTCAAATTCTAGAAAGCACAAGGGAGTCCAAAGCTGAGGCCTGCCAGGCATGTGTCCTAAAGGGACTTGGGCATTAATTAGCCTTCGGATGGCAGCAATTAGAGCAGCCACCTAGAAGCAGTGTGATGGGGTCCCCCCCCCCCAGCTGCCAGCCGTGAGGGAAACCCTCGTTCGAGGGTGGAGAGGAGTGTGTGGTTTCCTGCCCCAAGCTGCAGCCACTGTTCCCCTTACCTGGTGTGTTTGATCATTCCAGCCACTGCCACCCTGACTGTGCTCTGGGAAATTTGGTTCCTCTCCCGTTTCTCTTTTCTCAGCCAAGACGTTTCTAGCCTGGATTTTTGTAGAGGGTGACCTCAGAGCACAGGGAATAGCTCACAAAAGAATTGAAGAAGCTGGCTGGAAATGCTGCTGTTAGACTTTCTCATCTCCAAGCGTATGCAAGATTTCCTGGACACCTGGCAGTCTCTGCTGGGCATGGCAATCCAAGCCCCCCGAGGCTCCCACGTTAGCCCGAAGAGCCTGAACCCCCATGAGCTGGAACTGTCCTGAATGCTCCTGGGGAAATGTGCCATGGGACCGACATCTCAGGAAGAGCATGGTGCCCAGGCCTTGTCTACCAGCTTGACCAGGAGCCCTGCCTCCATGGCTGCAGCAGCCCTTTTCCATCCCATACGTCCTCTCCTCTGATGTCCCTTCCTAGTGGCAGGAGGCTGCATCCCACTGGGAGTCACTCCCACAAGGCCCCATTTTTTTGGTACAGCGGCAGACTTTCAGGATTCGAGTTTCGCAAGCTAGAGAGAAATTTCTGGAGGGAAGGCACAAGGAGAGCAAGTCCAGAGGAGTGGTCCATTGCTTCCCTGAAAGCTGACGAGGGCCATGGCTAAGTTTTAGAATGCATGCCCCAAACCCCGACTCAGGGCCCCTGGCCTCTGCCCTTGAGTCACATCTTTTCCACGTCCCTTCTCCCTCCCCATCACCATCATGTGTCTCAAAGAACTCTTTTGCCCCCTCACTACAGGTGGTTCCATGAAGGCCTCTCTCGACACCAAGCAGAGAACTTACTCATGGGCAAGGAAATTGGATTCTTTATCATCAGGGCCAGTCAGAGCTCCCCAGGAGACTTCTCCATCTCTGTCAGGTACTGGCTATTCCCAGCCCCCCTCCCCCCCCCTTGACCTGTCTCAGCCTGCCACTGCTCAAGCTGATAGGTTACCCAGTGATCAAAAGTAGGGTGGCATCTCTTTAACCATGCTACTATTTCCTCCCCAGAACATGTGTTCTCAGCTCCTCTATACATTGATTTCTGTTCAAAATGATGTATGTAGCAGTGGTACACACCTTTAATCCCAGCACTCAGGAGGCAGAGGCAGGCTGATCTCTATAAGTTCAAGGCCAGCCTGGTCTACATAGTGAGTTCCAGAACAGCCAGGGATATTAAGAACCAGTTGGAGGGGGAAAAAAAATATGTATTTATCTGCTTCCCTGTCTAGCCCAGATACTTCTGGAAAGCAAGTTGATCTGCTTTATGTGTGAACAGAGCACACCCTGTAGACATCAGCAGACATCTGTGGAAGGAGGGGAGGGAGAAGGAAAGGGAACTCCCACTTAACTGTGTCCGTCTGGAAGTTTAGACCTCAGCCTTTTCTGTTCCGCCAATAGAGGGCTGAAGCAAGGCGAGAGAAAAGCAGTTCCCCAAGCCGCTGCTGCGGGACACAGAGCCAGGCTGCTTCCACACAGCAAGGTTCTGACAAAGCCAAGCCGGGAAGAGCAGGGTAAAGTTGAGGGAAGCCTCTGGGGAAGGGGATCAGAAGGACCTTTGACCCTGTTACTCTTGTGCTGCATCGTATAGGAAGTGACTCAGTCCAGGCAGGGACATGACACAGACCTCAACTGAGAAACCCCAGATCTGAATACAGTGCGTGTGGTCAGCGTGTCAAAGACTGCAAGTCAGACGTGGTGACCGCATAACTAAAGTGCATGAAATGCAGCTCGTAGCAGAGGAGGAAGGAGCCCCGAGCCTGCACAGGACACACCTCCTGCCCCGGGGATTTGATAGGCAGCGCTGCCCTGCACTCCTTGATAGATTTCAAAAGGTGTGAAGCTTTATTGCTTCCTGTGCAGAAATCTAATCTCTTGTGATAAACTGCAGCTGCTTTGTTATTTAGAAAGAAAGGATCTTCAAAAACGGAGGTAGGAAGGACTGAAAAATGATGGACCAGCCCTCTAGAGGCTTTGCACCACAAGCGTGCTTACGAATACCTTGGACTCCTTAACATCAGCAAACTTGACAGCTTGCTAAGATGTAAAGAACATATTTACTGTGTGTGCATGTGCATGTATGCAGCTGCTGAGGGGTATATACGCACATGTGGAGGTCAGAAGTTTGGGGAATTGAGGATCTCCTTCAACCATGTGGGTCTCAGGGACTGAACTCAGGGCATCAAGCTTGATGGTAGGCACCCTTACCCGCTGTCTAAGTCACTGTTCTGTTGCTGTGAAGAGACACCGTGACCAAGGCAACTCTTCTAAAAGAAAGCATTTGAGGCTGGCTTACAGTTTCAGAAGTTTAGTCCATTATCATCATGGCAGGAAATATGGCAGCACACAGGCAGACATGGTGCTGGAGAAGTAGTTGAGAGCTACATCCTGATCTGCAGGCAGAGATAGAGAGAAAGTGGGCTTGGCATGGGCTTTGGAAACTTCAAAGCCCTCCTCCAGTGACACACTTCCTCCAACAAGGCCATACTTCCTAATCCTATCAAATAGTGCCACTCCCTGGTGACTAAGCATGCAAATAGACGAGCCTATGGGGGCCATTCTTGTTCAGACCACCACGCCCACTGGGCCATGTCACTAGCCCCTATACCCTGAATTCTCTTTAACTAAAACGTCTTCACACCTTGGGCAGTCATAAATATTAGCTCAAGCCAATATTATTTAATTTCAAATTCTAAACTCATTGGACCTTCATTGATGACATTTTGCCCTGTTAATAAACCTTATCAATCAAACCTGTTTTATTTTTATTTTTTTCCTTTTTCTGTAAAATTATGTGTGTATAGGTAGGTGTTTTGTCAAGCAGCAATATGATGTCCGTTGTGATTGCTGGGAGGGACTGAGTGAAGAATAGTTATTATACACAAGAAATACTTCCTCCTCTATGAGTTGAGATACCAGATCTGGAAGAAAAGCCATTATTAATGTCCAAACTCCTGAGGAAGATCAGCAGTGATGTCCATGTGTCACTTTCCACCCTGATTCAGTTGGACAGGAAGTGACTTACTTACCCTTGGTTATGAGTAGAACCCAAATAAATGATGAAAATAAAGGCCCAAAATTCCTGTTACCTCTTAACACAGATCCCTAAATCCATCCTTAAGAAGCCTCCACTAACCTTCAGATGAATCTCTACTCTCCAAAGCCCTTTAACTCTTGACTTTGCTGCTGGAAGTGGCCACTGATAGCACTGATACTCACACACCTGCAACATGCAAATACAGGCCTGTTTGGAAAAAAACAACCCAAAACTTTACTTATTCTTTTGTTTTGTTTTTCAAGACAAAGTCTCTCTGTGTAGCCCTGGCTGTCCTGGAACTCACTCTGTAGACCAGGCTGGCCTTGAACTCACAAAGATCCACCTTGCTCTGCCTCCCAAATGCTGGGATTAAAGGTGTATGCCACAGTAGCTGGAGTTATCTCCAGTCCCTCTGGGGCCCGCAGCCGCTCAGACCCAAGTAAACACACAGAGACTTATATTATTTATAAGCTGTATGCCCATGGCAGGCTTCTTGCTATCTAGTTCTCATATCTTAAATTAACCCATTTCTATAAATCTATACCTTGCCATGTGGCTTGTGGCTTACCAGTATCCTTACATCTTACTTCTCATGGCAGCGACAGCTGGCAGCATCTCCTGACTCAGCCTTCTTGTTCCTAGCATTCTCCTCTCTGCTTGTCCCACCTATACTTCCTGCCTGGCTACTGGCCAATCAACATTTTATTTAATCAACCAAATCAGAGCAACACATTCATAGCATACAGAGCAATCGATATCCACAGCATGGCACTACCAAAACCAAAACTTTATAACCAAGAAGGACAACTTGGCTGTGGAGTAAGACCAGAGCTGATAGTAGAACCTCCCCCCTTGTTTTTAGATGGCTACAATCAGATTTCTGCAAACCTGGTACAGATGTGCCTGGCCACCTAATTCAGAATGGTAGCAAAAGGCACTGATCTAAAAGTAGTCAGCATGCTTACCCAGGCTCACTGGGATCAGGCTGGGCATTCTCCCTCAGGTTTGCCACGCATTCACATTGACCTTGACTAAGCCCTTGGGCCTCTCTCAGTCACAGCATCTTCACTGGTAAAACAGAAGGCTGAACTATGTCCAAGGTCTTTTCCAGTTAAAATCTACAACTCCATATAATGTGTTTCCACAAAGTACAATTTATAATCTTATTTATACGAAACATAAACTTAGACTAGATCAAGACGAGATGAGTCAAGACATTTCTGACAATAGGAAAACAGCAGGGTCTTAAAAACAACAGCAAAAACAAACAAACAAACAAACAAAAAAACAGCCCCCTGCTGCCAGTCTGTAGCAGAGAACAGAACTCTGGTGTTGCATTGCTTCAAACAAACATTACAAAAGCACCTTGATTGCTCAGGCCTTACTGGGAACGGGTCTGGAGAGATAGCTCAGTGGTTAAGAGCATAGTACTCTCACACAGGACCCAAATTCAGTTCCCAGCACCTACCAACATCAGAGGGCTCACAACCACTTGTAACTCCAGCTCCAGGAAATCCAGCTGCTGGCTTCCACAGGTACCTGCACTCACATGGCATTTACTCACACAAACATACACATCATTAAAAATAAAATAAAATTGTGAAGATATTTGGAACATTTTTCTTTTCTTGCCCAACCTTTTTTACATTTACTTGTTTGTTTGATGTGCATGCTTACATGTGCGTGCGTGCGTGCGTGCGTGCGTGCGTGCGTGCGTGCGTGTGTGTGTGTGTGTACAACTTGGAGGACTTGTTTTTTGGGGGAGTCAAACTGAGGTGCTCGGGCTCGACAGTAAATACCTTTCACCTGCTGAGCCATCTCGCCAGCCCCACTTTTTCCTTCTAAATGTTTGTCCATCATCCAAGACAGATCCCAGCTCGTGTCGATCACGTTCTGTTGACGGTCCCTCCCACAAACCTGCTACTAGAGCTTGGGTCAGATTGCCCATGTCTATTTCTCCCGCTGCCGAAGAATGAACGGCATGACATGGCCATGGCCCTCTTGGACTTTCAATGGCTATGATTACCTGCAAGAGACCTACACAAGACAGGCCCTAATAATGTCCCACCATGGAATGTGGAGGAGATCACAAGCCCCCTCCCCCAGGATATGGAGGCAGTTAATAGAGACTGAAGAAGAGAAACACTCTCTTCAGTGGTATAGCTGCTTGTATGTTGTCCCCGGTACCATACGTAGCCATAATTAAACTCATTGGCTCACCAAAGTAGACTTGAGTGGAATCTTTACTTTGTTCTGTTATTGATGCCCTATGGGGTAGAACAGATGTTTGTTTATGTGTCGTCCCCCCCCCCCCCGCCCCCAAGACGTGTTCATACAATGCCTGCTCAAACAAAACTTCACCATCTCTGGATACAAACGACCACCCAGCAGGAACATGGTTATCACTGAGTTTGCTTGATCCCCAGGCATGAGGATGATGTACAGCACTTCAAAGTCATGAGAGACAACAAGGGCAATTACTTCCTGTGGACTGAGAAGTTCCCGTCCCTGAACAAGCTGGTGGACTACTACAGGACGACTTCCATCTCCAAACAGAAGCAGATCTTCCTTAGAGATAGAACCAAAGAAGATCAGGTATGCCTCGGGTCCAGATAAACTCCAGGCCAGGGATTTCAGGTAGCCTGAATTCCTGTGTAAGCCACCAAAAAAAAAAAGATATTCTGATCCAAAGTCAGATCTCAGGTTTAATCCAAGCTGAACACTTCCTAGCTGTGTGACGACTTTGGAAGACTCTCAGATCCTGTTTCCTTAAGACAGCATAAATAGGGGGTTGTGAGTGTAAGATAATCTAGTGTCCCCCAATCTCTTCCATCGCCCCTAATCCCACCGCAAATACACTATGCATGTTAGCTCACATTGGAGGTGCCGTTGTTCAGTTATGTGTGGATCTTACATCGCTGTTTTTCAGCCCAGCCCAGGAGCTGCTCACGGATCAGGGTGACAGACTAGAGAGAAGCCTAGGGGTCAGGAATAAAGCAGCAGGCGGTTTCCTGACAGCCTCGGGGAGTACAGGGCCTGCACAGGTTTAATCCCACCTCATTGCCGACTACCCGTGTCACCTAGTCAAGTTCAGAACGCTTTTCTGAGGCCTGGAGAGGTGGCTGGGGCGTTAAACACACTTGCTGCTTTTCCAGAGGACGTGAGTTTAGATCCCAGCCTCACATTAGAGCCTCACAACCACCAGTAATTCTAGGTCCAGTGGATCTGACGCCCTCTTCAGGCCTCCTTGGGCCCCTGCACACACGTAGCATACGTATACACAGGCATATGCCCCAAATAAAATACCTTTTTTTTTTTTTTTCAAAGAGCATTTTCTGAAGCTGGGTATGGTAGCACATGGTTGTACCCAGCACTTGGGAAGTAGAAGCAGGAAGATTGCAAGTTCAAGGCCAGCCTAGGCTACATAGTAAATGCCAGGACAGCTAGGGCAAGCAAGACACTGCCAACCCCCCACCCCAATCAAATAACATGCAAACAATAAAAGGATGCTTTCTGAGTATGTATTTTCTCATCTTAGTATGGAAAGCATAATAGTTGCTCCCTCCCTCACCGGGCCTTTGTGAAGATTGAATATGGCATAGTCAGTCACAAGCCCTGCCACAGAACCTGGTCCATAGCAGGCAAGCACCAAAGGCATGGTAATCAGCCTTCCACAAGGGAGCTCACACACATATGTACACATGTGTACACATGCAAAGTACAAACCATTTCTCAGGGAAACGAACATGGTTCTAAGAGATAGGTGTAATAAGCCGGGCAGTGGTGGCGCACGCCTTTAGTCCCAGCTAGGGAGGCAGAGGCAGGCGAATCTCTGTGAGTTCGAGGCCAGCCTGGTCTACAGAGTGAGTTCCAGGACATCCAGGGCTGTCTTGAAACTCTGTCTTGAAAAAGAGAGAGAGGGAGACAGACAGACAGACAGACAGACCAACAGACAGACAGAGAGGTGTAATAAAGAAAGAAGCACCCACTAGCACAACTGGAACCCCAGGGATAGGACCCGTGTGCTTTGGGGGAGTAAACCCTCCCTTCCAAACCACAGCTGTTTTCAAGGCTGGGAAGCTACAATCGCCAGAGAGGAGGGTGTTCCCATCCAGAGCACACAGAAGTTCAGAAAACAAAGGTCAACCGAGATCGTGTGGATTATTTTAACCAGGAAACGGACAGAAGAATTAAGTCACTAGGATGCGGGGCTCAGAGATAAGAGAGGCCGTGGAAAGTTGTCGTTAAACCGGATTAAGTGAGTTAATATTTGTGCAGTGCTAGTATGTACTGGGTCCAACTTTCTATGTAATTGTTGGTTAAATAAATAAAAATAACAATAAAGTGTTTCTGATTCGTGAGCTGCTACAATATGAAGCCGAGAGGCCTTGTTCCTTCCTGGTACAGGGGACACCAAGGCCTGTTTTCCATGGCTCTGCTAGAATGTTGCTGTCTTGGGTCCTTGTCACCAGGCTGTAAATGACAGCTCCAGACTATGCAAAGTCAAGAGCAGAGCTATCTGGAGGGTAGGGTGTCCAGCAGTTTGGCAACATGTGGATTGTTTATCTTGTGGCTAAATAATCCACCAGGTCTCGGTTGACCTTTGTTTTCCTTTCTGGACTTCCGGTGTGCTGTGGGTGGGAGCACACTCTGCTCTGATGATTGTAGCATCCCAGCCTTCAAATCAATGGGGGCTTGGAAGGGAGGGTTTACTTCCCCAGAGCCCATGAGCCCTTTTCAAATCACCTGTCCCTTTCTGCCTGAAAAGTAGAATATTTAAGTTTGATCACAGGGAGAAAAACAAACCCAGTAGAAATGGATTGAGTGGAGAACACATGGAAATGGTTAGACCAAATGGAACTTGTCGACCAGAGGCCTGAACTCATGAACTAGGGAAGATTTGAGAATGCAGGGACCACTTTTGATAAGCGGAGGTCCAAACCTTAGATCTCCTTTAAGCCTTACTACCCCGCCCCACCCCCCACAGTTACTATCAGAAGAGGGACAGGAACGGGGAGGCACAGGAAAAGGGTGAATCTGGAGCCCCTGTTTTCTTTTCCAGGGTCACCGGGGCAACAGCCTGGATAGGAGGTCCCAGGGAGGCCCTCACCCAAGTGGAAATGTAGGAGAAGAAATCCGCCCTTTGATGAACCGGAAGCTGTCAGATAACCCTCCTCCCCGTCCCCAGCAGTACCACCAGCACCAGCAGCCGCCTCCTCAGTTCCCACCAGGGCCACAGGCCCCTCCACAGCGGTATCCGCAGCACCATCCTTTTCACCAGGTATCCGAAGAGAGGGAAGGGACAGAGCTAGGAGAGAAGGAGGACCTGCCCACCCCATGGCCCAGGCCTGGACCAGCCTCCTGAAAGATTCTGGGTCCTATGATGGAAACCACCCACCCAAAAACTATATAAGTTCCCAGACTGAACACACACACACACACACACACACACACACACACACACACACCCCAAAGACTAAGTCTGTCAGCAGAATTCCAATTCTTGCCCCTTAACCCATAAAAAGAAAAACGGATTAATACCTGCAGCAGCCTTGTTTATCTATAACCCTGCCTGTTCCAGATGGGATTGCCGCTGGATGGACAATACACTAAGAGGACGCTGGTCCTACATTCCTCCACAGGGCACAGGGTCCTGTGTGAGCTACCTGGATCTACTCCCCCAGGCCCCTATTCTGCTACCAACCCCCACCACCAAGTGAACAGATAATCCGGCAACTGGCGCCACAGTTTGTCATTGGCATGTCTCGGTGCATTTCCTCTCTTTCTGGCTTTTTACAAGCTGTTCTGTCAGCCTGGTGGAGCTTTCCTGGTCAGTCCCACTCCTCCTTCAGGCTGGAGCCCAGGCATCCCCTCTTCCCAGACTCCTTCCCTGATCGACCCCGGCATGCCTGGACACTTTTCCATCGGTTCACTTAGCACATTGCTGTATGTGGTTCTTCCTCTAAACTAGTACATTTTTCTGATTTTTTTTTTAACTAGGAAAAGAACCATACAAGCTAGGTGTGGTGGTGCACGCCTATAACCCCAACATTTAGGAGACCGAGGCAGGTGGATTAAAAGTCCATCTCTAGCCTGGGCTACATAGTGAATTCAAAGCCAGCCTGAGCTACAAAGCAAGACCCTGTCTCAAAAGTAAAAGAAAAAAATGGGGGGGGGGACACGTAAAGAGACAGGTAAGGAGGAAAGTGTTTGTAGGCAAACGAAAAGGTCTGCAGTCAGATTCCCAGCACCCACACAAATGCCAGCATAGGGGAACACGTCTTTAACCTCACTGCTGAAGCCAATCAACAGCAGGTCCCAGGAGCTCATGGCCCTGCCAGTCTAACTGAATCAGTGAGTCCCAGGGTCACTAACGTCCCTTCAGGTGGATGGAGAGTGACAGAGGAAGATGCCCAATGTCAACCTCAGGCCTCTACACTCACGCTCTCACGCTCTCACATATATACACACAGATGATGATGATGATGATGATGATGATGATGATGATAACTGATTACGTTCCTGAGGCATGGGTACATGACTATGACTCCTCAAATAGCTGCTAGGTCACTGGATAAATGAAGCCCATGATCTTCTCCTCTAGAATCTAAGGTCCCCTCAGATTCCCTCCTGTCCATTTCCCAAGATGAAGGGTGATGGTCAGCGAGTTAGTTCTCGGGTGTGAGTTCTGTAGACAGCACCCAAGCCAGGCACAGGGTTGGGGTTAGGTCGTGAGGGACGCCCCTGCTGATAACCGCCCTCTGTTGCCTGTCTCTAGGACCGCCGTGGAGGCAGCCTAGACATAAATGACGGACACTGCGGCATTGGCAGCGAGATGAATGCCACCCTGATGCAGCGCAGACACACGGACCCCGTGCAGCTCCAGGTGGCAGGGGTGAGTGAGTGGAGAGTGCGAGGCAGCCTCTCGGGAGAGGGAGGGTTCAGCCTGGCTCAGCAGCTCATTCAGGCCGCTGTTTGCAATCTGACTGTTGAGCTTTGCCCTGTTCTTGCTCTTCCGGCAGTGGAAGACGGGTGACCTTTGTCCTGGTGACCCAGTGCCCTGGGTCTCAGGACAGGCTCAGTAGTAGGGCACCTACCTTACATATGTGAGGTCGCAGTTTCCACAAAAGCAAAACAAGACCATATCGAAGCTGGTGAGTGTCCCAGTACCTTAGTGGCCGGGGCTGTGCATACCAGGTCTGCTCTAAAGTGCTTCAAGATCAGCCTTCTGGAAGAGCCAGGGGACTCTGGATAGAGTCACGGTTCTGCTGTATGACAGTTGCCCCCAAGGCCAGCCTTCCAAGCTCATCGGCATGTCTCTCGTTTCCCCTGTAGCGAGTGCGCTGGGCCCGGGCCCTGTATGACTTCGAGGCTCTGGAGGAGGATGAGCTGGGATTCCGAAGTGGAGAGGTGGTCGAAGTCCTGGACAGCTCTAACCCATCTTGGTGGACCGGCCGTCTACACAACAAACTGGGCCTCTTCCCTGCCAACTATGTGGCTCCCATGATGCGATGAGTCCTGCTGGGAGGCTAGAAGCTTTTTGTCTGAAGCTGCCGGCCAGAGAGGGACAAGGGAAAACAGCTGGACTTTATAACTACACATGCGTGCATGTGATGTTCATGTGTGCCCGAGTGTACACAAAACACGTATATGTATGCCCATGTCGACACACAACATTTTATACTAGTAACTTATTGGCAGCTGGGTTGGTTCATTGACTGGCTTGAGAAGGAACTTGAGTGAAGAATGGGATGCTTTTCCCGCTCTTCTCTGTGTGAGAGGGCAGTAAGGAGCTGAGAGCAGGTCAGGGAAATGGACTTCTCCCGATCCTTGAACTTTCACAGCTTCTTTTCCGGCTTGGGAAGTTTCCAAGAGAGCAAGCAGCTAGGCAGAGGTCACACCCCAGCAATGGACGCATAGGACGGGGCTGGGCTTGGCGAGGCATGTTAAGTAGCTCACCTGGCCCCGTCCACCTACAGTAGGGTAGGCTTCCCTCCTGTTCTCCACCGGGCAGGCGCTGCGCCCTGAGAATTAAGGTAGAGCAGATCCAGGGCCATGGGCACCAAGCAAGTCTGAGCAGGGAGCTGGCAAGGGTGTGGTCAGGAGTCTCAGGTTGGTGTGGGAGAGCCTTGCAAGCCTCAGGCCTAGTCAGTGCCTGGCTGAAACTTTTACTCTCCACCAGTGACTGTCCCTTGGGTAATCCTGTTCCCCTGTGGCTGACAAGAGAGAGTGTCTCCAACATGGAGACACCACAGAGCCAATTGCTGGGGAGCATGGGGCTTCTCCACAGGCCCTTGTGGCTTGCTTGAATGTAACTTCTGTTTCCCCAGCTGCGGAGAAAGCTGTAGCCTAGATTCTGCGAAGTGCCTGGAGAAGCCCTGGCTGAGGATGTGGGATGTGTCAGGAGCCTCACTTTGTGGTTACAAGGGTTGTCTCTGGGGCGTGCTCTTGGGTTTTGCTCCTGATTTTCTGTGGTTGAGGGTATCTTTGCCAGTGGGCCAGAGGGAAGCCAAGAGCACTGACTGCAGATCAATAAACAGATTGACAGGTTGACTCTAACCCTGGACCGAAGCCTCATGAAAACGAGTTCCCTCTTCCGTCTGCATGCTAGGCCGCTGCGGGCCTCCCTCCACCTGGGAGGAGGAACCCCCGCTGCCACTGTCCCTCTTTGTCGCCTCAAACTAGAATTGTGTGTCCTGGTCCTACCCTGAGGAATAAAGCACAGAGAAGGCTGGCTGAGGGGAGGGGACCCTGGCGGGGAAGCTCGGTGCCTTTGCAGAGCCTGGGAACAAGCATGTCACAACAGAAGGCCCTTACAAGCGTATCAGTGCGGTCACATGCGGATGTGTGTGTGTTCTGAGATAGGAAAAGAAGCTCTGGGGTGGAAGTGGTGGTGGGGGTGTGTGGCAAGGGGCCCTGTCCCCTGTGTCCCCTCTTGCTTCAGGGAGGGACTGGAGGGCATCTGTTACTGAAGGCGATAAAAGAACAGTGTGACTCACAAGCCACTGCAGTGTGGCATGCACTCTGTCCCTTGTGACTCTGATTCACCAATTCTCTGGTCCCCGGGTTCCCCTTAGAGAAAGAGAGGAAGAGAGAGACTGCAGAGGGAAGGGAAAACAGCCTGGAAGGGCAGGGAAACAGAGCATGCATGAGGAGCAGCTGCAGTCTTGGGAAGCGAACGCAGGGGAGGGGGTCAGAAGATGGAGAGCAGAGGAATGGCAGAGGGGAGACAGGGAGAAGGGGGTCAGGTGGGACGGCGAGAGGAGGCATGGGCAGCTGGTATAGAAGGGAGGCCCCCTAATGCAGGTGGGGGAAGAAGGCACCAGAAGGGGCACAGAGCAGAGGCGGGCCCCAAGGAGGAAGAAGGAGAGTGGAAGCCGAGGCCAAGTAGGCCCAATCAGCAAGCTTGGTAGTGGGAGATGTGAAACATTACAGTAAATAAAAGCCAAAAGTGATGTTTGGTTTTACAGTATTTGCAAACCATATGCTTTCAACAGCCCACAAGCTTCATCCATTTGGCTGATTCCGTGGGAGGAGCAGCCCTGGCTGAGGCAGAGACTGACGAGCTTGGTTCTGGTCTAGATACTGTGCCTTGAAGCACTCTACAAGAAGACAGTAATGGTTTTGCCAGTCTGTGTCTGCTGTCTGTGTGGCCAGCCCGACTCAGCCCTAGCTGGGAGTGGCAGGGGTGGAGGCCTGGGGAGACAGAGCCCCAAAACCCCTGGAATGGGCTTGCTGTTCTAGCAGCCATTGTGGGAGAAGGTAGGAGGAGTTTTTTATTGAGGTTCATTGCCGTGCCTGTTAGCAGGGCACAATTCAGAAGGGAACAGAGAAGTCACCCGAACCACTAAGGGAGTACAGGGACAACCAGACCAAGAAGACCAGGGCCAAGCTGTTCACTCAGGGCTCAAATCTCTTTGGCCCCTCTGCGGCTGCTTCCTGGGAGGTGGGAGAAGGGCACCAGGAGTCATACCCCCATCCCGATCCCTTATCTGCTCTCCACATGCCAGCCTCTTAGAGCCAAGGGAGCGTATCTACCTAGTGTTTCTCACCAGCTGCCCAGGCAGCAGCCAACACATTGTCTCTGATTTTGGCCGCCACACCCTAGGTGACTTCGTGACATCTGAGCAGAGAAACTTCCAGAGAAAAGCCAGTTCCTGTCGAACCAGTTGTGGTTTCCTCCCGACTTACTGGAAATTACTTCATTTCGAATATCCAGAAGCTGCCGCGGCCCACTCACTTTTAGATGGTCTCGGAGTGATTTAAGGAAACACTTCTCAAAATCTCCAGAATCTGAGCGTTGTCTAGGGACTGTGTTAAAAAGAGGGTTCTGACTCAGTCTTACATCTCTAACAAGCTCCCAGGTGCTTTTATCAGCAAGGGCATCAGCCACACAAATCTAATTGGATTCTTTTTCTGGGGCTATTCAGTCACTGTTCTTTGTGGCTAACGAACAAGTCACTTTTTCTTTGGGACAGGCACGACTCATTACCGTCGTTATGACATCATTTCTGTTCGGCAGCCCGGTGACTTATTCTTGCATCTTCATCAGGAATCAGAAATTTTCCAAGTGACAGGCGTTTGGCTGAGACACGAACAGGAATTCCCTAATAGAAACCATTTGAAACAAGAGCAGAAGCTGTGGAAGGTGCAGAAGCTTTCTCAGGAAATCCTTAAAGAGAAAAATCAATGTCCATCCCTTTGGGCTATGGGCGAGGCAGGGCCATCACTAGATCTCAGCAAACAGGCCACACAGGGGACAGACTGGCCTGGTCAAAATAATTGCAGGACGCTTTGTCTAGTTTCAGCGTGTCTATCTGCAAGACAGGAGCGTCTACCACGGCAGTTCTTTAAAACAATTTATTTTTGTTATTGTTTTTCAGGTCCTTCCACTTCATCTCCCTCCACGGTCTCCTTCTGTCTCCCATAGCAACTGCACCGTCCTCTGTTGCCCTGTATTCCTTCCTATCCCTGGTACACTCTCCACACTGACACCAAGGCATTCTTTGGACAGACAAATCGGATCACACCTCTTTTCTTCCCAGTTGATCCTGCAAGATCTGGCGCCTGTGGGATCTCCTCTCTAACTTCCTGTTGTCTTCATGCCCTTCTCCACTGTCCTTCTTTCAGCCTCCAGATGGCCAAAAACTGTTCCCAGGGTTCTCATAATTGTGGGTACCCCGTGGAAAGCACATCCTGTTTTCTGCTGTTCAGATCTGGGTTTACGCATCACTTCCTCTCAGACCCCCCCCCCCCCCCCCGCATCTGAAATAATATAACCCTTTAGATTACCTCTTGAGTCCCGTGCTTTTCCTGAACAGCATGCACGCAGATGGAACACTAGAGTGAGTGGTGTGATGGCTGTATGCTCCTTGGGGCAGGGATCATTGTGTTTTCTAGACCCTTGCATGCCCTGCATCTCACACTGTTCATGGTACATGGGGAGGAGTGTCAATTAATATGTGTCTAATGAATGATGTTGTGCTCCTCCAAAGTTAAAGCCTTCATCTTGGAGGGAAACTCTTTCAGGTATAGGATGAGAAGAGGGAGGTGAAACACTCTATCTTACCAGGAAGCTCATTAAGACAGGAAGTAAACAACTCAAAATAGGCTCAGGAAGTCCCTGAAACTGTCTAGATTAACTGAGCCCCTTTCTCCTCAATAGTATATAAGCAGTAAAGACTGTTGAGATGCTTAGAAGAAGCTAAAACAGAGCAGCTGGGATAAGCAAAGACCAGTTGAGCGCCCTGAAAAAAGGCAGACCCGTTGAACTGCTTGGAAGAGACTCCGACCAATCGAGCCACCAGAAAGGATACTCCTCGACCTGTTGGGCGGCCTGCAGGTTGTGCCGTGAGGTCTAGGTTTCTAGTTTTTCATGAACTGTCACCCATGCTGGGGTGGGCTTTGGTGACACAGCTGTCTGTGAGTCATCTGCTCCTGTGAGTGACCCCTACCCAAACTCCTGTAAGTAACCTCAGTAAACGCATTGATTTGGACTTTGGTGGCATCCATACTTTGGCCCGTCACTGGTTCCCTGCCTGGCGGGGGGAGTAGACATTTCTTCATGTCTTCCCAGGAACATCATTCAACAATGAACAAGTACCAGCTGCCCCATCTCGTCTGTTGATTCATCCCAAATGCCTCAAGCATTCCAGACCTACAGGTGTAAACAAGGGGATTTTCTCTGTGATGTTCACGGGACTGAAGCTTTTGCCACTGCCCTCAGATACTCCGCTGGGTATTTCTGGGAGTCCTAGTCTGTCTATCCATGTCCATTGTGCCACACACCCTCCATTCACTACGTTTTAGATTGCTCTGAGTCACGTGTGTCGGCTGGTGAAATGGTCTGATCCTTCAGGCTATGGAATCTGCCCCGTGATCCATGTGGCAAGGAGAAAGGGGAGGGGGTGGGCTGGAGAATGACCTGTGCCCAGTGCTAAAAAAATGTGCCACAGCTGGGCCCAGGGTCCCTCACAGTCTGCCATGGGCTCGGCTTATTCCTTTTTCACCTGAGCCCTCTTTCCCTCAGACAGAATAGGAACGCCAGCCTTCCCCTCTCTCCATGTCGTCTCCTGTCTCCTTGGTGCACGCTTCTCCTTCAGATGAAGAGAACTGCATGCACCACACATGCTTTATTTGGGCAATAAATAGCATGTAGGAACCAATGCATGGCACA